GACGGACGGACAGACGGACAGACAGACATGGCTTAATCGATTTCTTTTTTCTTTTTTTTTTTCTTCTTTTATGTATACATTTGTCTACATCTATCTCGATTCGTTTTGGCTGTTACAAACAACCGTTATGTGAACAAAATTAATATACCCTTGTGCACAAGTGCGCTCGGGTATAAAAAATGTGTTTGGATTATGATACTCTTGCAGCAAATGAGCGATATTAATTCGCTAGTTCCTCGATTTTACTTCAGTGCCACTAATGTCTCCTAAACAAACATGTATGTATGTATATATTGTTTCTTAAAAAATTACTTACATATTAAAAAAAAGAAATGGTTGTCGCCCGACGAGATTCGTACTGCGAATCCCATGTTCACTAAGCAAATGCTTTTCCACTACACTGAGAAAAAGGATTAGTTTCGACAACTAAAGATATTTAGTTCCCGAATTTTGACAATATTTGGGAACTGTTACCAAGGATTCGGAACTATTACCATGGGTTGGTAATTATAACTAAATATATTAAAGCTTCTAATATTCATCTAGGTTGTAACAAATCGTTAATTTAGTTGAAGGGTTTGGTTAATACTAATAAATATTTCTTTGAAGCATATATGGGAAGTGGGCGTGGTTAAAGTCCGAAGAAATTACCTCATGACGTAATAGCGCTATTAGAACCCCCTAGTGAATTACATACCCACAAATACAATCAGCTGTCGTCCTCTCCAAAAGATTTGAATTCTGAAAACGAATCAGATAGCACATACTCGGACGAGCCGAAAACGCATATTGAAATATACTCTTTTTGATTTAGATGCCGATAACTGGAGCGATTAAACCTACAAGACTTTTATAAATAAATAAGCCTGCTGAAATAAAAAATTGGACCTAAATTTGTTATAACCATGTCAGATGGCTTATAGCCATGCCAAACTGTATTATCATTTGTTAACAAAAAAGAAAAAATAATTAGTTACTATGGTTTTTTTTGTAAACTTTATTTAGAATAAGTTAATAAATGAAAAATACACTACTTTGAAGACAGTTTTTGCATTTGGTACTTTTCAAACGGACTTCGAAACGCTAAAAAAGTTTTAAGACATTTATCCATCACTTAATTGCCTTTAATTCGATATATGAAACGAAGGAATTGGTTATTTGTAACTGGAGATATGCCCTAAATAATGGAACTGCCTCTGAAAAAAATTAAAAAAAATGGATATAAGATGTGGGCGTGGCAATTTACGGAAAAAAAAATATTTCAGTTAAATTAGTATAGTATGAGAAATATATGAGCGAAGTTTCAGCTAGATACCTTGTTCCTACGACTTTATGCCAAAAAAAAACGGAATTGGGACCATAGTGCAGTGATCGGACTTAAAAAATGTGTGTGGTAGAATCTGGAAAAAAATGTGGTAGATTTCAAAAAAATGTCGTAGATCTCAGGTTTTGGATCAAAACAAACAAAAATTTGAAAAATTCTGCAAGGTTTCACCTAAATTGCAAACATTTTAATTAGAATCTAAAAAAAAATTAATTTTAGTACAATAAAGTGCAAGATTGAAGTTGCTAAAAATTGCGTTGAGCTTTGGCAATTTTTTTCTTTGGCAGTGTAAAGCAGTTCCTCCCATATCAAGATATTTTTCGAACATATTTTGAAAGATTTCTGCAACCTTGCGGAGTGCTGCCAGCTTTTCTTTTTATCACATCACGATGTAGCGAACAAATGTGGCACGTTCCAGAAACCGCTACTTGGGATTTGCCGATTTTGACAATTCTCAAGTAAAAGTAAACAACGCTTTAGAAACTTTAGATGCACTGAAATTTGCTAATACTTTTATAAAAATCGCCTGTTTCTTAATATTTTCGTTATTAATTCTTTTTTATCAATCATATATTTTGCAATTTAACATAAGAAAACCACGTTTCCTGTCGAAAAATTTAATATTGAGAAAATTTACTATTTTACGGTTTATTTTATCCTCCCATTCTGCCTGTTGTTAGTGTTTAGTGTTGGACAATTTTTGCTCTTAAAATTACTAAGGAGCAAGGAGTACTCCAAAATTAACCACAATTCATATAAAAAATATGGTCCAATTAACATTGCGATGTCCTAGGGCAGGACCATATACTCCATCCTC